GTTTCATACGTGCAACTATGAACTGTCAACTTTATTCATATTCAACAATAATGCAACACCTCTCCGTGATAACGAGCATGCATCCCATAATCCAAAGCCTTATATAAAATTAAAAATGGTATCTCATGTGGGCTGTGTCACACTTGAAGTGTTCGTATTGGTGTTTGCTGATATTATAGATTCTAGGATTGGTAATTTGAACGTTATTTTCGAACTCTCCAAAAAATCCCCACAAAAATTGATAAAATCAAAATGATTGCAGCTGCAATGAGTATAACATTGGTTATGGTGAGAAACGAGGCTTCTATATCTGAAAATAAGAACGTTTCATCATGAATTATTCGTAATAAAAGTAATCAATGATTGGCTGTTATCGAAAAATTGATTCCAAGCTTCATTCGTCCATGAAACCAGAATTTTCGCTTCACAACTCCATTCAATTACACGAATGTTTTCTTTTGGCTACCAAATCACCATGTTTTTCTAATATATCTCAAAATAATCAAGTCAATTAAGCTAAAATACGGTAAACTTTAAATCAATAATTATTACGTGTTGAAATCTCCCGAATTTGACTTTCAGTCTTATATTCTCCGTCAACCGAGACAACAATAAACTCGTACACCTGATTCAATGGTAATTCCGGAATAACAACAGAGGTATCGGTGGTTATTAGGTTCGTACTAGACCAAACCGATGAACCTTTGATTCGATAGTTAACAATGAAATTCAACCCAGGTCTGCCATCAACATTTGGCATCCAAATGACTTTAATCGTTGTGTTATCATTGTTTGAATCGAGCAATTTCCATGCAAAAGTTGAAGGATCTGGTTTAATAGAGCCATTTGAATTGGTCCTTCTTTCGATGACATACCTAAAGCCAAAAAAACGTTCAAGAAAGTCAGTTTTTCACCGAATATGTCATGAAAAAATGCGCAAAAAATCAGAAAACATTTTCCCATTGCAATTAGAAAACATACTTTTCCACTTCACTATCACCTCGGTTGACAGCGATACGCACGCGATACTTTGTGTCTGGTCTTAGGTCAATCAGTTTGGCTTCATTAGTTTGTGGGTTATCAATATCCAGTGTCCATTCAGGTTTCGATTGAATGTAAGAGTATCCGTAAATTTCTTCGTAGGAAATTTTATAACCTTTTAGCTTATCAACGACTATAGGTTGCGTCCATCGTAATAAAAGAGCCGATGATCCCAAGGGAAATGCGTCGAAAGTCTGAACAGTGCCTTGATGTGATGGTGTTTTAATTTCAATGGTTTCACTAGCTGAACCTTGGAACTTTCTGTTGGAAGCCAAGATGCGAACGAAATTGACCGCATCTGAACGCAGATCCGTTATCAACAATTCCGACGTGTAGAAGTTTTCCACGTACAGTTTACGTATGTCACTTTCAATGTTATTCCAAATCTGAATTTCATATTCCTTGAAATGGCCATTGATCGTTTTACGTGATACAGGATTCCAGTGCAGAATAGTCGATTTACTGGTCGTTTCAGTCGAAGTAAGATTTGATGGTGCTTCGATTGGCAAACCTTGACCAGAATAAACAGCTTTGAAAGTAGAATTGGATTCGCCAAGTTGATTCACAGTAACGACTTTGATGAGGTAGCGAACAAATGTGGGTTGATTTTCGATGACGATATGGTTTTGCTTCAAATTCGATATGTCTTCAATATTCCAATCATGAGTCAGAAAATCACGCTTCCAATAAACGCGATAGTGCAAATCGGGATTTGGATGAGACATTGGCTCCCAAGAAATAACCAAATTGGTTGGTGTTGTACCTTCACCTTTAAAGTCTGTTGGAATGGGTTTAGATTCGAATACACATTTAAATATCAAAACAGAACAAAAGAAGAGTTGTCATGTCGAACACACGCAATTTCGAGAAAAAAAAATCGAGGAAGAATTCGAATTTGTTTCGATAAAAAAAATGGAATTTTACTTTTAAACACAGAATATGGTTTTAAAAAACGCAAATAATTTGATATTTTTATCGAAAAAAATTTGTTGAATGTAATTTACCTAAAGCCCATAGTTGATATGCCAAATAAAAAAGTCCGAACAGAATTTTAAACAGAATTTTACACATTTTAAATGAAAAATTTAAAAGAAGCTCTATTCTTGACAGTTGCGCTCCTTTCTATGGCTATTATCACACATGAAATGATTTGATTTGACGTCGAGTTATTCTAACAACGTATAAAATCCAATGAGTTATCTCATATCGGTAAATCTGTTCATTGTATAAAATCATTACATTTCTTCACATGAACATTCAGACACGCTCCAGTCTTCAAAGTGAGAACCGCCAGTCAAAACAAAGCTTTGTTTTCAAAGCAATTCAATGGATTCGATTTATCTTATCTGTGTATTGTTTGTACAAATGGTCATTGTTTATCAAGACTTTGAAATATGATTTCTGTATTGAAAGTGCGGAATCTTCATGCATTGAAGATGCATGAAAACCTGAGAACGATTTCATATGGAAATGAAAATATTTCTTCTACTTCTCTGCACTGAACATAATACGTACCTTTTTGCATTGGATTCTTCAAAAGAATCATCTTTAAAACCAAAATCGCCACTGATTTCAATTTCGAATGTATTCAAAATGTACAAACTGAACTCATCGAAACATTCGAAAGTGACAGCAGCAACACCATTTCGAAGTTTGACGTCTGTCATGAAAGTGTGTGGCTGTATGCGCTATTCGTTCATCCCAATTTCATCATCGCATTAGCACACAATACATTGCCGTGCATTGAGAATACATATTAAGTTTGGATGAAAAATATTTTCATTGCTTCACGACGCCATTTTTTGATTATCATTGAACAGTGTTCGTCAGAATAATTTTCATACACAAATTGTGTCCTTCAACTCATTTGACGAGATTTACCTTTTGAGTTTATTTTTAATTCAAAGGAAAGTTTATTTCGGGAAAAAAAGTTAGTTCGTGTCAAAGTGGAATTTTTCGATTGCTTGTTTCGTGTGTTCCATTCTAATAAAAAAAACCATTCTGATTTCTGATTCTGACAGCACCGAAATTGCGTCGCAATGAATGGTCACGGTACAGAGCCACCGGATAAACATGAACCGATCGCCAAAGCGTTCCAGAATGAATCGATTTGTGTTTGTGGAATGAAAATCAAACAAGAGCCGAC